ATCCTTTTTTCTTACTTCATCCACATGCATCGATATAATTCAAGGGGGATAAAGTGGACTTCTGTACAGCTCTCCCTGTCTGCATCATTCTTTTAAAAATCTTTCTGTGTGAGCATTTATGTTGTCGTATTTTTTTATTAGTATTTTTGGATAAATTAGCAAGCACATCAAAATAGATGGTTTCATATTAAAAAACAAAGCGAACACATTAGATGAGAATATAGAAGAAGGAAACGAAAATTGTATCATTAATCAAGAGAATGATGATATCCAAATGATGATGACAGTATTTTAGATGAAGACAATGATGATAATGGTTGTGATATAATGAAAAAGAGAGCTAATTTTAATGGAATGAAAATTTTTGGTATTGTTGAATACTCTGGACAAGATTTTTATTCTAAACTAAAAACTAATGAAACTTTTAAGTTTGTTCACAAGCACTTTGCGTGCTGATCATTAACCGATACAAATATGCGCCTCTCGAGGGATCGAATTTCTCGAGTCATTCAGTCAAGTCGCAAAGATGGTGATAATCATTTGTAGTTTTTCGTTCTAGTTAGATTCGTTCTTATAAGTAGTTTTAAGTTAGTCTCAATACATACATGATATTTATATATATTGAACAAGTAACACTCATTCTCTAGATTCGCTGGCACTTTTCTGAAAGAAGTGTCAAAAGTGTTCGGTAACTCTGTACAGATAGACTTCAATCAATCCAGGTCCGACTCGATATCAACTTTATGCAGAAAAGTTTTTCTTAGATTCACCTTGATTTTTCTATCCACTTCAAACTATCTTTAATTCATTTATTCAAAGACGTAAGCAAATAGAAGAACTATTTCTAAATATTCATGGACCCGCTCGCACTTCAATAACCAAAACCCCATTTATTCGCTTTTACTTTACTTCTTCTAATATTGTGAAAAAAACATATAGTCGTTAGCGTACTGTCTTTTTCTTCTTACTTCTTAAGTCATACGAAGATATTATGCAAAAAAAGCTCATCGTAGGAAATGAATTTATAATCGAAGACGCAGGAAATTTACATTAGTGCGTGGCCTTACTGCATTGTTTTCGTTTATCTCCTCACTCTGCGGAACCTAAAAACCTGTCGCAACCGTTCTTGAAAATCGTCAATTGAGTTTCCTCAAAGATATCTTGAAACTACGTGAAAGTTGTTTAGAGCGGTACCAAAAAATAACACTTTTCTAATCGACGTTGTTATGATACGAGGTATCATGACATCTATTTTCCCGACTATTTCTATCTCATTTCTTTTGTTGCCAGTTCTATATATGTTGTGAAATAAATGGAACTAGTCAGTTATGTTTCGATAGTAACATCGAACACACGCCTCTTTCTTTTCGCTCTCGGACATCGACCATAACAGTGGTGACAGCGGTCTGAAGAAGAAGAAAAGCAATTTTTCTTCTTTTAATTTCTGGAGGGGCACTCAACAAAGAAGGAATCCTTCTTCACTAGAATTTGATTCTGTATTCGGCATTCAACAAACCAATTTAAATTGCAATCATGATTAATAACGAAACATCCTCAAACTCAATCACCGATCCAAAAACGACGGAAACGCCAGTTGTTACTCGACACGTGCAAAGACCACGCATGTCTGGCGAATCAATACATCGTCACGTCCGAATGTTAATGGAAGGAGACCGAATGGGAGCGGACGAACTGTTCACAGCATTGAACAAATTTTATGACAAACAACGTTATTCATCGTCAGAGCGTATTCGGTGTACACAAATGTTTTTGAACGACGAAGGAAAAGAATGGTATGAACAAAACAAATCCGAAATCAAGGACGATTGGTTATCTTTCTGCGATCGATTACAGCAACATTTACAAAGCGGCCGACCAATTCGTACACGTCCCTCACCACCAAGTGAAAACGTATCAGTGCACAATGAAGATAAGTGCACATTGGAAGATATTATCCATGAAAAATTTAACACCTATTCGGGTATGGGTGATGCAAAAAGTTGGCTATTACAAACTATGAATCATTTCAAATTATACCACATACGACGCGACGACCAACTTGAAGCCATCCCTTTACTGTTAGTCGACGAAGCTTATTTATGGCTCGTGGAAAACATCGAAACTATTCCGAACGTTGAAGTATTCAGCAAATTATTTCTCGGACAATTTGCATCGACAACAGCGTCAACGATAAGTTCCATCAAGGGTACTGTTGCACCAGCGACTGTTGTACCTGACCATTCACCCTAATCGCATTTGCAAAGAACCATATTTGATGAAATAATCAAACGACCAACATATTTTCGTGGTTCACAATAGGGGTGGACCATTTAATTTAATTAGACTTAATTCACGTNGCACACATTTCCACAATCAGTTGATGGAAGCAATGGCGAAATTAGTTGGATATAATCACACATATCCAACCACATATCACCCGCAATCGAATGGCATGATTGAGAGGTTCAACGCGACATTTATTCCGCGAATTGCCAAAGTTCAGGATCGAGAAAATAACAATTGGGATGGGTTCTTGGCATCGGTGGTATTCGCATACAACACTGGAACCCACTCGACAACTGGATATTCACCATATCAGCTATTATTTGGCAGAGAACCAAGATTACCAACGGATCAACCTGCATCAACATTTACATTTCGAAAGCCGAACGATTATTATGAGCAATTGAAGAAGAATATGAAGATCATACATCGTAATGCACGTGAAAATATGATAAACAAGCAGAAGCAGTACAAATCACGTTACGATACACAACGAAATGACCCACACTATTCACTGAATGATCGTGTTTTAATAAGAAAACATGGGTTAAAGAACAAATTGGATGCGAAATATTCGGCTACTCCACAAATTGTCATTCGTGAAGATCATCCTGTCTACATCGTTCAAGATGAATCAACACAAGTGGAAACAAGGGTACATGTCAACGACATTCGACCCATATGTATTACAAGATCAAATTAAAGAAGAAAAGAAGTCAATGGGGAGCGGAAACATCGAACTCCATCGAAATTCTCATTTGGAATCTTTATGAATATTTTTACAAGTATTTTTAACGATTAGTTTATCATTAATTTTATCATTATTGATTAATCTCGTCACTTATGGGTGTTGGAATTGATTTAGGGTCGCGATGTTTATGTTACAGTGAATTAAAAGTATGGCCAACGATTATTTTACGATAACAAGCATCGTCTATGAGTGGACTGATTGATATTTCAATATGCGCGCATTGGACGATCAATCCTACCATCAAGTATCACAATGGAACATTAATAAGGACAATATTGATCACTATCATGTATGAAAATGGAAACGTTCCACAATGGAAATGTTTCTGAAATCTCCCATTGAGATAATCACACATGACTACATAGGTCAACGACATCTATGGTTAAAATAACGCAGTGGAAATTCGGACACAGAAGTGACCGATAGCCATTGGTCAAAACAGTATTAAGCAGATGGAGCGTTTGTTGTTTACAATTAGGGCAAAACGCTCGAACAATTGTTTACACAATTACGAAAGGAGTCGCCTAGTTATCGAATCATTTAGGTGTTTGGCATTTATTCTTTAGAGTATTATCCATTTCTTATTTAGATTAAAATTTTTTTTCTCTCCTCGAAATTACGTGGTCTCACTCGATTGCAATCAAATCAAATCAAAGGACTTTCGGTTGGTCTATACACATCTCGATCGACAAATTTAATCCCGGTGATCCGAACGGCTTACAATGGACGAGTTATCGTCAATTCAACGATTTCAACTGATTGAAATATCGTCTGTGCTTCCTCGGCCGTTGTCGTTCAACGTTACATATACCAGTGTAGTCAATTCGTCGTGTTTGATCTCAATCGTCGTTTACAATCGATTCCAATCGTTATTCTCATTCGAAGTCGGTCTCGTCATCGAAATCGTCGATTCCATTCTCGTCATCAAAGTCATCGATCTAATTGTCGTTTATAAAATCATTCAGAACATTTCCACGCAAACATTTGATCGAAGTTTACGTTTCAATCGGATATCGTCATCCCTGTTGTGTTTGTAACCCCGATTATAATAAAATAAATTGTCAAACACCTCAAACAAGTACCACACAGTAAAACGGATATGATCAGAACAAATGAGTGTGAGGGACAGAGTGAACTGAGTCCCGTCTTTCTTGTGTCCGAATCCATTCATGAGGTTGTATTTGTCAATCGATACATGTCAGAATCAACCATGGATAGAATATTGGATCACGTTAGCGATTGCCAGCAGTTTTCGGTCGATACCGAAAGCGAAATGGCCAGCAACAAGCTGGCCATTATACAAATCCATTCAATTCCACGGGTATTGCCATCGATGGTGATTTTGGTTGAACTGTCGTATCTGCCAATTCTAGAATCAGGGTTGTATGCAAAGATTGAACAGATGTTACGTTTGATATTTAGATCTGATAATCATGTTTACGCGTGGGGAGAGATGAGAAGAGAAATGGAACCAGTGAAGCATTTACTCGATTGGCCGATTAAATCTACATTGATTAATTTACAACCACATTTTACTGGATGGTATGAGAGGGCTCGGACCTTATGTAGGGTCCAGAACCTACAGGAAAACGTTATTAAAGAGGAAGGTAATGAAGTGGATCGATCGAATGACCCAATGAAATGCACATGCCATCGTGAATCTCCTTATCAGGAAAATCAATTATGGTCATTGCAAAATGCACTGATTTATGGCTTTGATGTATTTATTGATAAAACAACTCGGATGGCACATTGGTCACATGGATTAACATATGGTCATTCATCCTTATCACATGCACAGCGTATTCGAATGACACATTATGCCAAGAATGATGTGATGGCGGTATCCTATCTGGCTAGACCCATCATCGAGAACTGGTCATTTGCGAGGATCAAGGAAACAAACATGGAAGCAATGTTTGTCGCATTTCAACCAGCATTACCATCACCGTTACGTCAACCGTCGGCAAAAACGAAGGTTAAGAACATCAGCATACACAAATTGGCAAAAATTTTCGAAACTGCCGACTCGGATATTGAACCAATATCATCGGATGACGAAATATATATGAACCAGGTGAACCAAGACGTTACTCAAGCTAGTGATGAACATGTCGAAACAGAATTAGCAACAGCAACTAATGACAACATCAATGATGATTTAATTGAACCAACAAATGGAGATCTCGTTGATATTTCGGACGATGAAATTATCATTGGAAATATTGGGACACAGATGGATAATGATTATGTTACAACAAAGCAATATGATGTGGGATCAGCCGAAGTGATTTGGCAAGATCCTGTAATAATTGCTGATGGTAATTATGAAGCAGAAGAAAGAATAAATCGATCGAAACATCAGCAACGCAGCATCGAAGCAAGGAATCGGAAAAACAGCAAGCATAACAAGCAACGACGCAAAAATCGTTATCGGCACATCATCAAGCGACGATGTTATTATCGCTTCACCATGTACGAAATGAAAAAGATTCTTCGGTATTATGGAGTCACATTTACGCACGTGAAATTTGATGAAACAAGTGAAAATTTAATTATCGGATTGAAGAATGAAGAAAATCGAAGTGAAGCGGAACATCAACTGGCAATGGATATATTCAACCGCAGAGGTTATTATCATTACCGGAGAAGACAGTATCACAAATGAAGCAAAGGACAAGAAAACAAGATTTTTTTTCTTTTCTTCTTTCTCTCTTCTCTTTCTTTCTCTCGTTCATATGTTTCTCGCTATTGTTGACAGTTCTTTGTTATTATTTCTCCTGTGAAAGTTTTCAGTGATATTTATTCACAAAAAGTATTTTTTTTATACCTAAAAATCCTTTTTTTTGTGTCGGGGAAGGGTGTTACATCCCGCCATCTGATGGCACGTCCACAGATCTTTCGTGGCCGTGATCATCTCTTTCTTTCCTTTGTGTTGTTTCTATATAACCTGGTGAAATAAAAGTAAAATCAGTTATGTTCTAACTACTATCGAACACACGCCTCTTCACTCTCGAGCATCGGACATAACAAGTAGTGATGTCAGTTAATATTAGTTTTTCACAAATTCATTTGCTTTTAACATAAATGATTTTGCTACAAAATCATATTCACCACCATATGCACACACATTGTAATTCCTTACTGCTCATAGATTACTTGAAAGTTTTTGTGTTTTTCAATAGTCATTAGTACCTGCTTTTGTCATGATTGTGATGTCGAAATCTTTCCAAATTTTTATATAAGAAATAAAATGAAATTCACCACGAGTGAATTAATTGAAAACGAGTGCTTCATTTACTTAAGCAAAAATCACATATTCCGCTAAAACTTGTTGCTCGACTTCGAGCAGCATCTTATCAAAAATACCGTTTCATTTGATGACTATACGAGCGCCTTTCATTCAAGACAACAAGCATTCGAGAAAGAGAAAGCAAGCCGTCTATTGATGAGATCAACAATAATTGTAGCAAGTAAGATAAGATATCCATATGGTATAATTTCGAATTTTACCGCCTATCTTTTCCGGATGAGTTGGTTAATTATTAATCGAGTAAAATATTAGTCTTTTATTGGCTTTTGAACTCAATACCAGCAGTTCACGAGACGGTGTAATCCAGTAACATGCTCGAAAGTCTTTGTAGATGATGGAAATCAAACAGCAAATCGATTAGTCTACCAATATAAAAATATGTTCAATGATACAATACCTGATTTTGGATTATTCGAGACGGGATGTTTATATTCTACTTTGAGAAAAGGTAAATCTGCTTTAAAGTCATTTGCTAGAATTGGAGATGCGCATTACTTGCATTTGAAATCTTACCGGGAAATCTATATATAAAAATACCTTCCGCTATAAGTGACAGTTACTTTCTTACAATCAGTGTGAAGCTAGCACGAAGGAGCTAGCACGAAGAAACTGTGTGTAAGCTAAAAACTTTTTTCCAAAGTTTGTCCGGTGAATAAAAATACCACCATTTGATGCAGAATTAAATTCTGAATCGAATGGACTAGGTTTTATGAACCGGACAAACTCTGGAAAAAAGTGTTTAGCTTACACATAGTTTCTTCGTGCTAGCTCCTTCGTGCTAGCTTCACACTGATTTTCTTTTACATTAGATAGAGACGAAATCTTTTGATTAATAGAACAATATAATGATAGAATCATATTACTCTATCTTTTTATGCTTTGTTCTTGTTGCTATATTATTATTTTGTTTTGAGTAAAGTCCGGTAGTATAGCCGATTATTCCTGCGTATAAATAATAAAAAGGAAGAGAAATAAAAAGTTTAATCAATTAACGTAGGAGAAATTAAGGGAAGAATATATGTATATCAGAAAGGCATCGAACATTACATATCACATTACAGACGAAACAAAATAATAGAAAAGGTTTTTTTTCTATGATGAACATGCAATTTGCTACCTCTTATAGCACACCTATTGCACCTGAAACAAGCAATATACCATTGCTACGTCAAAATAATTCATATCTTCAGCATATTGTATTCCCTCGACTGTAAGGAGGGTCATGTCTAAAAAAAAAGTGGTCAAAAAACCGAAACTCGTTGAGGGTGGATGTTGACAGTAGGGTGTGTGGTGAGGGTCGGGGTCAAAGGTCGAAAAAATATTTTCACCAAAAACGCTTAAAACTTCATAAAAAGCGGTTGCGCATGAAAACTCAGTGAAAACCGTATATATTGATCAAATACAAAACCAGTACTATGACGATACTGCTTGTCATTCAGAAATTCCAGAAAAGACAACAGCTAAGGAATCGATATTCGGAAAACGACACACACAAAAACTCCACTAGAAACCAAGCGACACGTAGGTGAAAGCAGCGATAGAGTAATCCACCAGTATCACAACGCGATATTGTATGTTCCCCTGCCATACTAGAAGCTCTCGCTCGATTATTGAAATATCGCTTTCTATGCTTCGACCTGCCGCAAACATAACTTTTACTATTTACTCTGACACTTCAAAAGAATTGCACACTTTAGCCGCACAATCAGCGCCGTAGTAACACAGAGACGAAGATATAGAATATTCCCGTATTTATCACACATCAACGCCCGAGATAACGAACATCAAAACATTTAGCTATTAAAGGTGTGTGTAAAAACAACACATATTCGGAATTACACGAAATTGCTGCTCTATGTACTGTGGTTGGCTGTAACATACGAAGTGTTTATCCTGAAATAGATTTTAGACCTGAAATGGCTATTATGAATAGAAATGAAATACGAACGCAACTGAATCACAGGTCGGCAATTCATAATGCAATACAAACAGGATGCGATTCGATGGTATGTGTTGCTCAGGACTTTTGTAAAGGCAAAGCTGTGGAAGAGCCGGTACTTGTAAAAAAAATTATTGGAATTATCTGACAGTAAGACTGAAAACTTACCGAGTTTATTACCATTAGTTCTTGGAATGCCAGTTATTCTTACACAAAATATTGCTATTGAATTGGGATTAATTAACGGCATGAATGGAATTTTTAGACAACCAGTTTATGATACTGATTCAATCTCAACAGAAAGTCCATCAACAACGTTTCCAATGAACACTACATATGTGCACAAGCCAATATATGCATTGGTCGAAATAAGCAAATCAAAAATTGAATGTAATCTTGAAAAACTCCAACCAAAACTTATTCCAATACCAATAATGAAACAAATATTTCAGGTAGACGTTTCTGATATTATTCCGAACGTCAACAGCAAATCAAAAACAACTAGAAAGGCAATGTTATCGATTAAGCGATGCGCATTATCTCTTGTACCCGCCTATTCTATTACAACTCACAAAAGTCAGGGACAAATTTTAAACAAAGTCGTTATTGATTTGAAACTACCAAAGGATACAGATGACATCACTGCAATCTATGTACCATTATCAAAAGTGAAACGTCTAAGTGACTTAATTATTTTGCGACACTTTGATTACAAAGTCTTGCAGATCAAACCCAGTAAATCTCAAGTTGCCGAGATCCAAAGACTAGACAAACTCTATATGGAAACACAGAAGCGTTCCTAAGAATAGTTTTAACAAATTCGATAGAAAAGATAAATCACCATTGCTTGTCATCCATTTTGTGCATCGGATTCATTTGTATCACTTGTATCTGTGCAAATTTCTTGTATAATTAAACATTTTCTCTATTAGTTCGTTGTTTTGTAATCGAAATCCAAATTTTGTTTTCAATTTTACCATAACTATTATGTTTTGTTCCACGCTTCTTATTCGTACTCACATATACTTTATTCATATTTTGACTTCTTTAGAGATTTAGTTATAACTAATACAAAAAATTATTTGTTTACTTTCATGTCATGTAGTTGTTTATTATATCATCAATTTGTCTTTATTTCATTGAAAAACAAATAATAAACTTCATATTGGAAAACATTTTCTCTTATATGAAATGAAAAAACAATAACAAATTGATTATTACATATGAATCTTTTCAGTCGAGGGTAATGCGAGTCCGTCTCGACGAGCGTTATTTATAATTTATTAGTTCATCTAATTTATCGTTCAAATGTTGCTTTTTCCTCTAGGTAAATATCTCATATCTCTCATGCCTGCTCTTTACAGCATATAAAGAAAAAGATTAGGTTAGTCAAGGGATGAAAAGAATTGTAAAATTAATAAAGAACACATATCAGACAATCTGTCTCGATAAATGGTTCGTTCATGACAAATCTGGACTTTTCATGGTAGTAGGATTTCGATGAACAAATCTACTGAAAGAATTTCTCTGTTTTGGCCGAAATCAGTATATTTTTACGGATTGCAGCCACAGACTCATCAAATACTTTATATTTTTATACTAAAGTATTACTAGATGAAAGATTTACTATTCAATCTGTTTTCGTAATGATAAAATGACTACTCTTTCTACTACCCGTATATGTGAGCGTTGATGACGATCAACAATAATATTTTATCTGTATCAAAACGGAACAAATGAGTTTGTTCAGGGCGGAATGCTTTTCACAAATTGATGTAAAAAATGTATAAATGCGCAGTATTATTATTGTATTCTATGTAAGAGATGATATTTTCTATGAAATATATCTTTTATTTCATTTTTCTACATGGGATTGTCGCTGCGCCACAATTCAATCTTTATTTTACTGATCAAGTAAGTGTAAATGAATATGATGAGATAGGTGTGCGATACAATTGTTTACGATTTGCTTCAAATATTAATAGCGAAAAATTCGTTCGAGATATTGCATCCTTTTGTATGAGTGAATCATCATTAAATTTTTCTGTGGAAAATGGTAATGGGCAGAAATTTTATTTTGCTGATCTTGCAAAAAAGAATATCACAAGTGAGGATTTATATTTATGGTCAATACCAATTGATATTATTGAAGAATATCAAAGATATTTAGAATCCAATAATGCATTTTTATCAAAACAATTCATTTATAATTGTACTTTACCAAGATTTGGACTAATGTGTCAATATGAATTATATTACTATGATCAAAATTTTTCGTTATTGAATGAAATGATTTATAATTACTATTTAAGAATGGCCCGTAATATAAATGGTTTGACTTGTTATAATCATTTAAAATGTAATCGCGGTTATTCACCAGCGTGTTTAGATTGGACAGAAATTTGTGATGGTAAAGTTGATTGTCTTAATGGAGATTATGATGAAGAAAATTGCTGGGAACTTGAATTAAATGAATGTAAATCAAATGAATATCGCTGTACAATTGGACAATGCATACCGAATGAATTTTTTGAAGATAATGAAGGATATTCCGATTGTGTTGACGGATCGGACGAAAAAAAGAATCATCGCCAAGAGCAACGTGATACTTCCGCACAAGTACCAGTATTTAGATATTACGATGCGAAATGTGAAACGACATTTCTAACAAGTACTTGTGACCATGCTCAACATAGAACTCAACTCATCGAATCGATGTTTTCAATGAAATACGAATCTGCATCGGATAAGTGTTGGTTTGCTTTTAAATGTATGTTTGATATGTCAAGTCTAGAATATCCGTATATATCTTCTAATACTATCGAAAAAGAATGTATACCTGCAATAAGAAAAGAATGTCCAGATGCATTATATGTTCCCAACATTCCATCATACCTAGGTCATGTTTATACAGCTTACAAGAAGAATGATGAACCACTCGGCCATAGGTTTATCGTACCTTATTTATGTTCAAACAAATCTTTTCATGATGGATCACTTAAATTAGTTTCAGACATATCACTGAACAATACAATATGTTTTGTTTCTCCTAATCTTTCGCGTTTCGACATTTCTGGTAGTTCTATTATGACAACTCGATATATAAATACCATGAACAATATTTTTCAACAGATCAAAAATTTTAATCCAATCATTAATTTTCCTTTGAATCAATGCAGTCGATTCAATTTTTATCAATGTATTAATTCATCAAAATGCATTTCATTCCAACGTTTAATCGATGGTATACTTGATTGTCCTTATAATGATGATGAAACGATATCTCCAGATAACAATCCTCAATTATTTATTCGAATAAAAGACAAATATTATTATTGTTTTTTTACCAACAAATACATCTCTAAAGTATTAATTTTCGATAAAAAGTGTGATTGTGGTTTTATTGATTCATTTTGTGAAGATGAACATGAAGTCCAAAACTTTACTCGAAGAATAATATCTTTTCAGACAACATGTGATGGATTCACTGAATTATCTTCAATAATAATTAACGAACAAAATCAGACAGATGAAACGAATTGTGAACAATGGGATTGTAATAATATTTATACTCGATGTGATGAAATATGGAATTGTTTAGACGGAGAAGATGAAATGGGTTGTGACATATCATCAACTATTTATAACTGTTCTTCAAATAGTCGAATATGCGTGACATTAGATACATATGAATTCAGATGTTTACCACTGAATCAAATTAATGATGGTCAAGTCGATTGTCTTGGTGGGACTGATGAAACAAGAATATGTTCATCGACGACGACGACTGAACTTATAGGAAGGTTTTATTGTATGGGTAGCAGTCCACCACATTGTATTTTTGATATTGATTTATGCAATAATATCGAAGATTGCCCATCTGGAGATGACGAAATATTTTGTCAAAAAAATCGATCGATCCCGAGTACTATTTGTGACCAGATGTCCACAGAACTACCTACTGATATTGAAAGATTCTTCTGTAAGCTTTTGGAAAAGCTTGAGCCTAATAAGGAAAAACATAAATATTTTAGAATAAATGGTTTCAATGAATCGTTGGAAATTAAAGAAGGTAGATTAAATAATATGTTTCCTAAAGTTACACTTTCCGATATACTACCATTGCTTGATAAACGTCGTTGTTATCAAGGTCTTGATTTACGTGTTTGGTTAAATTATCGTTCAAATAATTATACAAGTACATGTCTTTGTCCACCAACTTATTATGGAAAGCAATGTCAATATCAAAATCAACGAATAAGTTTATCATTAAAATTTCATGCTTCGAAAGATTTATCGCAAGTATCATTTGCAATATTAATTTTACTTATTGATAATACAAATCAACGATTAATTCATTCTTTTGAACAATTTACTTATTTATCATCAAGAGATTGTACAAATAAATTTAATATGCATTTACTTTATGCAAATCGACCAAAACATTTGAATAAAACATATTCAATACATATTGATATTTATGAAAAAAATTCTCTCGAATATCGAGGAAGTTTTATTTATCCTGTTCAATTCTTATTTTTACCAGTTCATCGTTTAGCTTTTATTCTCAATATTCCATCTTCATCTGATCATCAACAGCAACAAACCTGTTCAAATGATCAATGTCAACATGGAAAATGTAAGAAATATATCAATGAAAAAGAAACATTTTGTCAATGTGATAAAGGATGGTCTGGACAATATTGTCATATTCCACATAATTGTGATTGTTCATTAAATTCCTTATGTATTGGAATATCAAGTCATAATCGATCAATATGTTTATGTCCAAAAAATCAATTTGGTACTCGATGTTATCTTCATAATCGAATATGTGCAAATTCTCCATGTAAATATAATGGAACATGTATACCACATGATGATTTTATGTTATCAAAAAATCAAGGATATATTTGTTTGTGTCAAAATGGTTTTAGTGGAAATCGATGTGAAATAATTGATACACAACTGAATTTAATATTTGATAAGAATATTCTTTTATCCCATTCCGTATTTATTCATTTTATAACAATCATTTCATACAAGTATACTTCAAATATTCTTCCAAAAAATACACCACTAAGATTAACTGCTTTACAGACCATATCTCAAGCAACAAATTCTCTCAGAATATATTGGTCACAACCATTTCATTTAACTTTTATTGAAACATTAGACAAGATTTATTATTTAACTTTTATTCAACCAAATTATAATTCATCAACAAAAATAATTCAAAAAGTCGATTCATCACATCGTTGTCCATCAATCAATAAATTAGTTAATCAAGCATTTGCTGAACTACATCTCCTTCAACGTATCAAATCTTATCATTTTATATGTCAAAAATACTCTCCTAATTTGTTATGTTTTCATGATGATATTCATTTATGTTTATGCTATGATCATATGAAAAAACGTTTAGCCAATTGTTTTAATTTTGATCATAATATGAAATTTGATTGTTTTGGGCAAAGTGAATGTGAAAATAGTGGTCAATGTTTTCAAGATTCACCAGATTGTCCAAAACGATCAATATGCGTTTGTCGATCATGTTATTATGGAAATCGATGCCAATTTAGTACAAGTGAATTTGGTTTATCACTTGATGCTATCTTAGCTTATCATATTATTCCTGATCTTAATATTTCTTTTCAAACGTCGATTGTTAAATTAAGTCTATCATTAACAATTGTTTTCATAATTATTGGATTAATCAATGGTTTTCTTTCATTAATTACTTTCAAAAATAAAAGTGTACGTGAAGTTGGTTGTGGAATTTATTTATTTAGTTCATCATTAACAACAATATTAACAATGATTATATTTGGATTAAAATATTTTGTTTATCTTTCAACACAAATATCTGTACCATCAAATGATTTATTTTTACGAATTCAATGTTATTCACTTGATTTTCTTCTTCGAATATGTCTTATTATGGATCAATATTTAAATGCTTGTGTTGCATTAGAAAGAGCAATAACAATTGTTCGAAGTGTTCATTTTGATAAAAGCAAAAGTAAAAGATTAGCTAAGAAAATTGTAATTATTCTTTTCATTGTCATTATTTCAACATCAATTCATGATCCAATTTATCGTCGTTTATTTGGAGAAGTAGAAAATGATGACAAGAAAAGGATTTGGTGTACTGTAAAATATTCTACAAATCTACAAATTTACAATCGAATTATTAATACATTTCATTTTTTTGTTCCATTTTTAATTAACTTTATTTCATCAATTATATTAATAACAAAAAAATCTCAACTACAATTTCATCGTCAAAAAGATCGATCTTACAAAAATATAGTATATCGAGAAATTCAACATCATCAACATTTATTAATTGCACCAGTAGTTTTATGTCTTCTTGCACTACCACGTTTAATTATTTCTTACTTATCAAAATGTATGATTTCATCAAAAGACTCATTGTTATTTCTTTGTGGATACTTTATTTCATTTATACCGGCGATGGTTAGTTTTCTTATTTTTGTTTTACCATCTGAGTTTTATAGGAAAGAATGTCGGAAATCAGTTTCACAATATAAAAATCTTATTAGAAAACGTTTTCGTCAAAGAATATGAAAGTTAATGAACAGAAAAATGATTCGGACAATTATCACAAATGATTAAAGTTTTTTTTTGGCTGATTTCAATGGAAATTTTTTAGATACACTGTAGAATGCTTGTTGCTTTTGTGTGCCTCGAATATTTTACTTAACTTTATTTTAATGCTTCTGTTAAGTGTGCACTGTTTCTAATACATTTATGATTATAAACTCGATGATGCGTTGTGTTATAGGCGACATCTCTCTCTCTCTCTCTCTCTCTCTCTGCCTAGATCAATTGTTATACCTTCTATCTCCCTAGATCTTTTGTATTAGTGATATCTTCTTTTGTTCCTGTGATATCTATTCACTTTTCTTTGT